AGTCAAACACTACATCCAGGCAGGCACGTCAGTGAATATTCTGTCATAGATTGATATCGGCATTTGGTATTACATGAGATTTAATTTCAAATTTTGATGATGTTGAATATGCAATAGTATTTCATTTATTACTGTAATTGATAGCTGACATATACAGTGCTACAGAGTATCTGATAGCATCTGATTGGCATGCAATGGTCTTTAGCATTGGACCATTTATATAAGGTTTCATGTTTGATACCTGACAAATTCAAAAGCAAGCAAAGCAATAACAACTAGACTAACACTTCAGTACTTACTGGGAAGTAAGTCTAAGTGATCTCAATGGAGCTTACTTTTGAGTAGCACTTTAGATTCAGTTGCAAGTGTTAAATATCTTACTATTTTAAGTTCAGCAAAACATTTTTAGTTCTGTATTTAGCTTTTTAAACCACTGCAATTTTGTTTAAAGGGCCTTGAAAGGCAACAGCCTAAATCAGCCTTCACCAACCTAGTGCCCTCCAGATGTTTGGGGCTTCAGCTTTCATCAGCCCATGTCACTCAGGTTGATGGGAATCATAATCTGTGGAGGTCACCAAGGTGGAGAAGGCTGGTCTAGACATATGACTTACTTAATAAATCCCTGGATCCAAGAACATTGTGAGGTTTCTATTGTGAAGTATAAGAGCTAAAACAAAACCCTCCTCTTTAGTCTAGTTAGACACATGCCAGATAGTTGTCAGATTTCCTCAAATACCTTGTTCAGCCCTTTTGCAGCTAATTATGCCAAACTCTCTTCTGAACTCTAGAAGATGAAAAATGTTTGCCTTCAGCACTTTACTGTGTTCTGACATGAATTGAAGCTGCAAGAGCCAGCTGAGCAAAACAAGTGAAATCCTGATTTCTTCACAGCCTATCTATAGACCTGAAAGTCTGGATGCCTAGTGCCTTATTATTTTTATTACTACTACTATTGTTGTTTATTTATAGCTCCACAGTTTTTATGGTGCTTTGCACAGTAACAAGTTAACAACCCGGCCCTTTGCATGTTTACTTGCAGTTAAGTCCCACGGAGTGTGTAGAATTGCAGCCTAAATGACTAGTCCCAGAAGCAATGAGCTTACAATCACACACACACACGAAACAGAAACATTGCTGTACATTAAATACATCAAAACATACCCTTTTAGCAGGTTCTATTTGCTTTTCAAAATGCTCAAGCGTTTGCTTGTGGTTCCTGTGCTGCTGAAATCCCTTCCCTACAATTATAGATGATAGGGTTGGTCATCTAGTCTGGTTCTTTACATTGAGTGGCAAACGCTAAACATAGAATTAAAATTCACTGTTACATGTGTTGCATCCTTCCTTTTCTTCTCTCTTCCTTAACATACGTTCTTTTTAGTAAACCACATGTTCTTTAACAAAAAAACACTGGATGGTATTTCCAAAGTTTGAAAGAAACCCCCCCATGCAACACAAATGTCCCCCAAATACAGGGATTTTGTAAAATAGCATGCTTTTTGTTTTTTTTGTTATTATGTATATGAGCATTTGGGCAGTCTTTTGAAAAATAAATGATTTTGTTATACAAAAACATACAAGGACTGTACATTAACTTTAGTTTGCGTCATATATTATGGCAGTCAAGCCAAGAAATGTTTATATGACAGAGAGCTATACTGCAAGTTTGCAGCTAAAAATAAACTCATCCCCACCCTAAATGCATTTTGGAATATGAATGTTTTTAAAGGGGTGGGGCCTAAAGGCCAAGCGCTTCAAATTATTATTTTCAAAACTCTCTGGATAAAAATGATTCCCACGCACCACATGGAATCAGCAAGGAGACTTCCAGCAAAATAACCCCAGAGGTTTTTTACATTAATCTTGGGGATCTGCACCAGGCAGTCTAAGAAAGTGTGCCAGTCCTCAAGATTTTTTACATCCTACAAACTTTCTCGTGTGTAGAGGAACCTTCACCTATCAGTTTTATAGCCTAAACAGTTGTTATGTTAAAGGTGTGCAACCCCCTCTTTAAATAATAGCCCTTCTATTCTGTTGTGGCCCCAATGATCATTTCCCAGCTCTTAGCATCAGTGGCAGTTTCCTGCCTGGGTTGAATAGTAGCTTCGACCTAGCAACTTTGGTTGGGGCAAGACAAGCAAGTTTGGATGAGCACACAAATGCCGATTTTTATTTTTATGACTTCAAAACCGGAAAATAAGGGGGCTAAACGGGACCCCAAGGTAAAGGTAAAGGGACCCCTGACCATTAGGTCCAGTTGTGGCCGACTCTGGGGTTGCGGTGCTCATCTCGCTTTATTGTCCGAGGCAGCCGGCATACAGCTTCTGGGTCATGTGGCCAGCAGGACTAAGCCGCTTCTGGCGAACCAGAGCAGCGCATGGAAACACACTTTTGACGTGCTTTCAAACTGCTAGGTGGGCAGGAGCAGGGAGTGAGCAAGGGGAGCTCACCCCGTCGTGGGGATTCGAACCGCCGACCTTCTGATCAGCAAGCCCTAGGCTCTGTGGTTTAACCCACAGCACCACCTGCATCCATGGGACCCCAATGTACCCCCAAAACAGGACAGTCCTGGTTTTAAAGGGACAGGTGACATTAACCTTTTTATTATTGTTTAAAGAAAACTTATTGCTAATTTAGGCCCCAGGTTATGAATAAACCAGACAAATATTACATTTAAATAAAAGCAAAATAAGATCCGCCCCCCAGCAAAAATGAAGGCACCTAAGAAGACAACCACAACTAGCATGCTAAATGAAAAAGGCTACTGGGCATGATTCTTACATAACTGACACATACTATCAATTTACTTCTTGCCCATATTTGTTCCTGTTGCAGGAGGGCAAAACTGGCATCTCTCTTGTAGCATGGGCATGTGGATTCCTCCATGGAACGTAGTGCAAAAGAACAAAGGTAGCCAAAGAGAAATTCTCCTGTGCACAGCTCTCTGTGATTTGGGGTAGGTTGAAGGAACAGGTTACCCAAACCTGATTGTACAGCTACCCTAACCAGGCCCCCAAACCTCCCAAATTCCTTCTTCAAGGATCCATTAGCTAAAATGCTGTTCCTTCAAGGTGACGTCATTGAAGTCTTGCACAGGAGATCTTCCCAGCGGATTGTTCCCTCTGTGATTACTATAAAGTCACTGTTCTGCATCTGCTCTGCCATTCTCTGAATTCCCCTCAGGCTCTTTTGCTAGCGCATTGATGCACCATGACATCCTGACACAGGTAGCAAGGCATGAACACATTTCCGCCCCCTCATCTCTTCCATCTCCCATTTATTTTCCTTTGGCAGTTCAGGAAGGCTGCCTTCACGTTCTCCTTCGCCCGCCTGCCCACCACCGCCCCCCATTGTTTGCTTTCTCTTCTCCATCGATCAACTGTGTTACTTTACTGCAGGCACTGTAATATTAACTACTGTTCAAACAGAAGCACTTAGCAGGGGAGTTCGCTGGGATTCCTCTGACCTATTACTCAACAGGATTTTCTGCAACAACACGTTTTTGTTTGTTTTGGGGAGGGATTAGTGGCAATATTCCACATACTACTGACACAATGAAACACAGGTTTCATAGGAGGTAAAAGGAAATCTCTCTGTCAGACACCGCCTCCTTGATTTTTAAAGGAACATATGCAGATCTGATTGCTTCTAACAGTTTCAAAGTCCAATAAGAAAGGTGCAGAATAGGAATAACATTTGCCTGTAGCAGATGGAGGGGTCTAGGAATGCCCCCTTTTGCCATGCTTGCTGTAGCAGCAGAAAGTGAACCAGCCCTCAATATTTTGTGTCAGTTCCTTTATATAATTTTCACCTTTTTAGTATCTTGCTGGATATATATTTGAACACAAAGTTTAAACTTAAGATCTTTAATATGTATATACAGATATGCTGCAGGCTCCAGGTGGTATAACTGGCATCAACTGAGAGTTTAGGGCACACTTGATTTCGGTGAATATTTATGATCTGAAGTGTGTGTAACAAGAAAGAACGTATTAAATATAGCCTTTCAGTCCTTCCCAAGATGGCCACGTAAGCTTTTAAAAGTGAAATTAAGGAACTTGTACACTTTTCTGGCACTGCTCCTTGATATCCTGGATGATAACATGCCTAGATGATTTATCAGAAAAAATAAAGAATAAATCAAAACAGGAATTTGTTTCTAAATGGGAGGTTTTCAAAGAATATCTGAAAAATAAATATAGTAGTTTAAATTCTGTTGCAGCATTCGAGGAACTTCAGTGATAGTTGCTAGGTAGATAGAAGAAATTAGATTTATTGAGAATAAGTTTAATTATGAAAAAAATGTGTATTGGCAATAAGTAATATGAATTTGAAATATGGAATAGACGGGAAGTTGGGTCTTTAGTGTTAAGACCAATAGATGTTTTATTGTTTGCCAAGAAAATTATGTGTCTATGGTTATTTTTGTAATTTGTGTGTAATTTGGTATTTGTGGTTTTTTTGGGTGTGTTTTTTCTTGTTGTATAAATAAATATTTTTTTTAAAAAAGCAGGTATTGCCGCAGCCAACAATAACCCACACAATAACCTCTGACAATCTCCTGTTCACGGCTGCCAGCAACCGCACGTCCCCCCCTCTGCACTATCGGTGTATAAAATGACCCCTAATTTTTAACATTTAATTATAATAATTAAAAAACCGTCCTATACATGGAAAATATGGTAGTTTTCCTCCAGCCAGAATTTTCAGAAGTTGATTCTAACACCTTGGAAGGTCAGACTCACACTGGATTGAAGGCACCTAAGAAAGTCAGGCGCAATGCCCAGTACCTTCAAGGTTATGTGGGGCACTAAGATCACTTTGCCAAAGGGCCTACAGAATCTTGGTGTCCCTGTCCTCCTTTGTATCTGGTCAGCATACTTAAGTTGCAATCCTAGAAATTGCCCCAGTTCATATGTTTGGTGGCAGGGCACTGTCTAGTGGGATGGAAGAGCATTCCTTTCCACCACATGGATAACACTTAATGCGAACCCATCCGAATGGATGAACTCATGGGTTGTGACTTGCATGGTACACATTTTTACAAAAGATAACCATCAGTAACATCACCATCTAGTAATATGACTAGTGGTGGGTTTTAATATCCAATTTCCATGAGGAATATTTGTTGTTATGTTTGGTGATATTAATATTTCCAGTTGGATTGTTTGAATTAGAGATCAATCTGAGCCACAAAATATAGCTTTGAACGTTCTCAAAGTCCAGTAGTGTTCAGAGATGGGTTTTGGTTAGTCAATAGCTAAGTTCCAATATGGGAAACTTACTTTACCAAGTAAAAATATTGCTGGAAGATCATATAGATAATACTAAATGATCTTAACCAAGCATCTAGAATAAAGACACAAGTAAAAAAATCAATTAGTGTATGGAAATGTGAAGATTGTACAAAGAAACATATACAATGGCTTTAACATTATTTTATAATAATTAATTGTAATCAAGGAAGGTATGAGTCACCAACAGCAAGATACAGATGGTAGCTTTGATTATTGTAACATTTCAGTTTCTGTTGTATTCTGGAAATCACATTTCTCAAGTTCTATCCTAATATTAGAAATAAATCCAAATGTTTGGAATAAGCAAACAGTTTCAGATTACAAGTAATCCATTGCCTTGGTTATTCAAAAATTTTGTAATATCTGAAATCATTGCAAATTATTTTCTGGGATGCTATTTTTGGAGATGGCATTCCCGCATTCCTGTTCCTTGATTGATGGGGAACGCAAAGGCAGGCTAGTTCTTTCTGGGCTGGAATCCAGACTCATTCATACTCCTCTAATTGTGATTAAGTCTGAATCCAATCCGCTGAAATAACATGGTGATCGGTAGCAGATCCCACTTCTGAGTGGGGTTACGCTTCTCGCATGCTGAAGGGCCATTGCTCAGTTTCTTCTCTTTCTATCTCCCATGCTGGGAGGGCAAGACGAAGGAGGAGGAGGAGGAGACACGGGGATGTTACCTCAGAGACAATTTGCTTTGACAGGAAGACCTTAATATTGGATTCTGTAGAGTCCTAAGGCAGAGGAAGGGAACTTTTTTCTGCCTAATGTAATGTGTTCTTGTTTTATGTGAAGATATTTACATTATAAAAATGCTTTTCAATGAGAAATCTAAACCACTTCCTTCTTTTCACTTATTTTTATAATCTTTCATTCTATTCTGCATGTTTGGTGTGTTTGTCAGCTGAGGTTGGGGGTTTGTCACATTGTTAATCATGGGCTGCTCTATTGTAATTCATGTCTATGTCTATAATTATTTGCCTTAAGGTTGACATTTATTTATATGGTCACCATTTCTTTGTCCCTGATGAAGATTGTCATTCACCAAAAATTTTTGGTCCCCCCCCCCATATGGGCTAATATCTTTGTCCATCAGTGTATCACTACACCCGTTTAACACTTAAAATTACTTTATTATTGTTTATTGTATTTCATAATCTATTATAATTACTACTACTACTAGATTTATATTCCACCTTTTACATACAATTAATGCTGTTATTTTTACCAAATTATGTAATACACATACACATACACATATATTTCTGTTATCATGTTATCTTGCACAATTACATTCAACCAGATGAACTCTGTGTATGATCATAAATAGTAACTCATGTTATTATTTTATTATTTTATTTATTTATTTTAAATTTAGACTCTCCTGTAACCACATAGTTGTCCAGTTGGATTAGGACCTCTAAAACCAAATACTGATTCATGTCAAGTATGAATTACTACCAGCTACTAAATGCTGTACTGTACTGTTAAGTAAATGTAATTACAGTATATTTCAGTTATAAACTACTAAACACTATTGCATATCATCAGCCAGCAAATACTGTCAAATATAAGCTGTCAAACACCATATACTGAACATCAAAATCATATATAAACGACTGAAATCAAAGTATTATCTCGAGTCTAATGTGCCATTGAATCTAATGTGTGCCTTAATTTTTGCAACGTAATTTGACCAAAAAAGGTGAGCATTAGATTTGAGTAAATATGGTAGTAATATTTAGCAAATATTCAGAAATTCAGAACATGGCTGTGAATATTCAACATGAAAATTTTCAGAGGAGAATATCTGAGCTGACTCCTTTCAGCTCTTGTTCATATTTTACAAGATTCCACAGTCAAATTGTCTATTCTTCCTGACTAAAGCAAATGATTTCATTTCAGCTGTGTTGACAGACATGTTGAAACTGAGCCATACTGTATATATTTTACCTCAGGTTACAGTCTGGATTTGCAAAATTAAATTAGAAATTTAGCTCTTTGAGACTGTGTTAACTAGAACTGATCCCTTTCAGCTGCAGATTGAATCGTCTTCTTTTTTACATTTGAAAAAGGCAGTAGCTGTCTGCATCCAAAAAGGGGCTGAAGGCTGGAGGGTCCCCTCTCCCCCAAAAGTCCCTGTTGGCTCCACCCCCACCATCACACATTGAAGCCAAAGGTCTGGAGAGAGGTTCTCCACTCATTTGGCTGAATGTGGGGCAAATCCTCACCATGATTGTGAACCCTGATTGTGCAGGGATCATAACTGCACAGAGAATTTAAAGCACCTTCACTCGGACAAGGGAACCACAAAGATTTTGTTCAGTCTGTATTTCTGGGAGAACTAATTTTATTTGTACTTTCTGGACTAATATGTGGGTCACAAAGCATTATTTGATCAGAAAAACCTATAGCAAAGCACATATAAATAACATATTTAGGATAGAATATGTAAATACTATTTATTTTTTGAAAAAAACATGTTTAAAATAATGCACTTTTTTTAAAAAAAAAAGCAGATTGATGCAGAAATGAGACTGAACAGATTTATGAATGAACACTACTGGATAGCTCAGTTGGTTAGAGCGTGGTGCTGATAATGCCAAGGTTGCGGGTTTGATCCCTTATTCGGACAGCTGCATATTCCGGCATTGCAGGGGGCTTGACTAAATGACCCCCAGGGTGCCTTCCAACTCTACAATTCTATGATATGACATGAACAGCTGCCATCAGCTGGAAACAGATTGATCCTTCCGTCCCTGACTCAGGAGTGTAATAAGGACTGTCTGCTTGGCTGTTGTGATGTTGGGAGTGAAGTCTGTGTGCACATTTCTGTACCTTCTCCATGCTTCATCCCCACATTATTATTATACTGAATTTATTTGCATCCCACCTTTTCCCCAGACAGGAACTCAACACACCACACCTTACACAAATTAAAAAAACACAGATAAAATACAAAAAGCTGTCCTTGAATCCATGAATGGGGATCTTGACACAATATTTCTCTGGAGTGGTCCTAAGCTGGGCACCCCAGGGCATTGTGGAAAATTCAGAATGGGAGCTGGTGGCACACTGATGTAGGAGAGGGCCCAAACCGCCAAGACAATCCTACCCTCAAACCAGAATCCAGCCCATGTGGTGGCTTGCTGGAGGCAAAGAAGGCTTCTATCACTGCTGAGAAAACTTTATTGCCAATTTTAAAAAAGGAAAGGTGTCCTGATGCCCTGACTAGAGGACGTTGCCAGCCACTCGGAAGCTGTGTGCCTTTAGGGTGCTGTGCTGGCAGCCCCCAGTGCCAAATCACAAGAGTCCCGGATACCCGCCTCAGTCACGGCCAAGCAGCAGAATCCCTTCTCTCTCCTGCAAGGTGCTTCACGAATCACTTGGGGATAGCAGCACTACCTACCTCTTGACTGGGCAGATGGTTGAAATGCCAGTTGGCTGGGAAGCATAGGGTGGATTTCATTGGGGCATAGCTACCTTCTCTTTGCTCCAGTCAGCTCATTTTTCCCCCACCTTTTTTCTCTCCCTCCACCCCACAGGAAGCAGGGAAGCCGCTTTCACCTACGCCATCACTGCTGCTGGGGTTGCGCATGCCGTCACTGCTGCCTGCAGCCAGGGAAACCTAAGCAACTGTGGCTGTGACAGAGAGAAACAAGGTTATTACAACCAAGAGGAAGGGTGGAAGTGGGGAGGCTGCTCCGCTGATATCAGATACGGCATTGAATTCTCCAGGAGGTTTGTTGATGCCAGAGAAATCAGAAAGAGTGCTCGGAGGCTGATGAACTTGCACAACAATGAGGCTGGAAGAAAGGTATTTTAGAATAGGAGTGGATGGTCTAATGTTAGAGGGATGGGCTTCCTTTTCACTGGTAGGCATGGATTCACATGGCTGGACAGATACGCCTTATGGCAGTGTAAAAGATTCCCTGCATATACGAAACTGGAATGTCCAAAAGGGAGGAGGGGGGCAAATTTGATCACATTTACATTCTAATGCAACCCTGCCTTGTTTTCATTTCCCAAAACAACACGCAAATTGAAACACAGCTCTCTTCCAAAATTCACACTTCTCTGAATTTTGTGATATATGTGGGAAGAGTGTACATAAAATGCATTTATTTGTGAAAATACTAGGAACAATGCATGATATAGGGGAAATTGCTTGCAAAAAAAAGAGTATGGTGATGTGCTGGTTAATGATGGGTCTTTATTCTCTTTTTAAAAATTCAAACTGCTGTAGGCATGTGGAGAGCTGAGCTTAAAACAGGAAACATGAGAAACCCAAACAGACAGGAGATTCTGGCCTAGATGCCTTCCCAACATGCTAGCTTTCTATATGAAAGGCTTTTCTTTTCTGTATAGAGGGTCATCCAGTCATGTGAGTCCCTATCTGCAGTTTCAAGTCTCTCACAGGTTATCTGTCTCAGTGAAATCTAGACTTGAGAAAGGGTCTCAGGAGGCATTTCCTGCAGGCATTTCCTCTCTCTGTGCCAGCAGTGCAGATGGTGCTTTATTCAATAACATAAGCAAAAGACACAGAGCACCAGCGTCAAAGTTGTCTATTACCCTTTGCTCTGGCAGTTAAAATACGGATTACATTACATTCAGCAACTGGTCTGAAAATTAGCATCTCCAAGAAAAACACACAGCAGGGAAAGCAAGTTCAAACCAACACATGAAAAAATGTTACTATTGTTTAAAAAACCCAGGCTCTAGTATGTTCAAAAGCTGCATCTGATGCCATATGCCTAATTTGAAACTGACAAAACATGTTACACATTTTGTTTTGATTTTCTTCTTGGTAAGGATTTTCTTTCTAAGTTGCAGGGGGAAATTCCATCAAATGGTGTTTGCGATGTGTCATTTGAAAAAGCAAAACAATAAACTGAAGAAGCGGTTTTTATGCCATTGTATTTCAGCACTTATTTTACAAAGGAGAAGTGGCATTTCAACCATTTTAGTTGGAAAGAACATCATGAACCCAGAGGGAATCTATGTAGAGGAAGGGGAATAGTTTCAATGTTATTCTGAGAGAGCGAGTCACGTAGTGGCGATTTGTTTTGGTGAATCACTCTTGCGGTATGATTTACAGCTAATTTTAACTGATAGCAGTGCTATTTTTCTAGAAAAAGAGGTGCTGGAACTCACCATGAACGCCTCCCTCTTTCTCTTGGAATGGCAATGGCACCCACCTGAGAGGGGCAGGAACTGAGTTCTGGTGAGTTCCCCCTGAAAAAAGCCCTGACTGATACTATCAGACCTCTAAGGAGTAAGACTGACATTTTAATAAGTAGATTAATCAATTAACTTTTAATCAGTGAACGCAGTTTTAAATTGGAGGAGCTGCCAGACACAGCCACTTAAATTTTTTTGACATGATTTCAATTCTTGGGAAGTTTCTGCCAAATGGAGTGAGAAAGCAAATATTTAAAACATACTTTCCTCCAAACAGAGTGGCAGTTCTTGCCTGTTAAATGTTAAACTATAGTTACCACAGCATCTCAAAAGGTTTCTGCATGGACACCATGGGCCTTCAGCATGTGGACTTAGGAGCCTTATTAATCACAATGTGTTAATATAGGAAAAATAATAATAAATTGTCCAGTAGCACCTTAGAGACCAACTAAGTTTGTTCTTGGTATGAGCTTTTGTGCGCATGCACACTTCTTCAGATACCACACGAAAGCTCATACCAAGAACAAACTGAGTTGGTCTCTAAGGTGCTACTGGACAATTTTGTTTATATATATATATATATATTTCTACTGTGTCAGACCAACACGGCTACCTACCTGAATGTGTTAATATAATACATCCAATCATAACAAATGGATGAAAACCATGCATGGGTCAAGAGGGACTGAAAGCAGTTCTGGTCCAGCATGGCAATGGCTTGGAGCGAAAAGCTAACCCATAATGTGAGATTTAAAAACAAAACAGTGCTATACTCCTAAAGGGCATATACTCTAAAATACTTCTACAGAAAGGAATGCTCCTAGGCAGTCCATTATGTCTTTGCACCCAGTGAAAAACTAATTAGACCACTGGTGAGAATTTAAAAGCACATGGAAATACTAATGCCATTGGTTATTTGAATACAGTAATGAACATTTGTTGGGTCAGTTGCTGAAATGTTTCACTATAGAAGCTCACCCTCCTAGTCAAGAACGGCGATGGGGCTGGGCTTGGCAGGCCCCTCTCCACACTGCCCCACAGCTTGCTACTCATGCAGGGACAGAATGCCTGACAAGGGCTCCTGCTCCTTCCCCCCTCTCCTTTGCTTTCCTCATTGTTTCATCATCATAGTAATAGTAATGCTCAGTGGCCACAGAATGCTGAGTTTTTGTTTGGCAGGAGGACGAGGGAGGCAGATGGAAAACCAGGAATGGAGTTTCCTGGAAGATGGCATGTCTGGTGATATTTTGTTGCAGGTCTTGCTTATACAAATAGATTATAAACCAGAGGTAGGGAAGTACTGTGTTTTCTTTTTCTTCTGTGAAGTGTGTAGGTGACACTGCATGAATAATAAGAAAAATACGAATTCAGACATGGACAGTTTCAATGAACCATGTCTGGATTCCAGTCCATACATTATGCACAAACAACAGCCATTTTTGAAATGCATAAGAGCTACAAATTCAGTATTATTGCTTTGTTTAAACATGTCTTTCCTGTCTCCTGAAGGTTCACACTAGCTTTACTTGAAAAAGTGTAGTGAGGTCTTAAATGCAATGCCATTCACTTTGGTATTTCACAGAGATGAATTGCTTGATTGGATGAATTTAACGGGATGGGAAGGGAATTGTCTGTGTCTTCCTGTGAAGTGTCACATGCCTCCCACACACCTTTGGCCTGGACAGCTGCATTTGCTCATGAGCTGCACTTTATGCACATTTGCTTTGCGCTCTGTTGTTTGCCTGAAGGCTCAGGCAGAATCCTACCAGCACATGCTGACTTACTATACTGCATGTCTTCTTCTGTATGCTGTTGGCAAACGAAGGGGAGCTATATGATCCTGCAGGATCAACTTGCATATTGCACACTAACATAGCCAAAATGGTGCCCTCCTGATGCTGTTGAACTCCCATCAACCCCAGCCAGCATGGCAAGTAATATGAGAGGGCGGGAGCTGCAGCCAAGCCACATCTGGAAGTCACCAGGCTGACATAGCCAATAACATTGTTTTGGATATGACTATTAGGGTTTCCATTGAATTTTGCATTTAATTAAAATATTAAGCACATTTGAACCATCTGAAGCATATAAAATACTTCAACAATTTTATTGGAGATAGAGCATAATAAGGTTGAATATGGTGCGGGTATTGTCTGAACATCTTTAGGGCAGAAGAGATGAATCACACCATTAAGAACAATAACAAAATTTTGCTTTCACACTTTCACACCAAAGGCTTGAATCAAGCCAAGCGAACCACTCCTAATTTTGGTTAATTTTAATGAGAGAAAAGCACACAGCAGAGATATCCAGCTGAAGTTAGTGGGAGTTTAAAAGTGCCGGATCGTGCCCTTGATCTTTATGCATGATATTGTCACAAATAACTCCCCCTGTAATATCTTAGAATCCACGTGATGAACTATGAGAGGCTATTTCCCCCTTTCATCATTTCTCCCTGCTTTTGTCTACAGGTGCTTGAAGAGAGAATGAAACTGGAATGCAAATGCCACGGGGTTTCTGGTTCCTGCACAACCAAGACCTGTTGGACTACGCTCCCTAAATTCAGAGAGATTGGATATATTTTGAAAGAAAAATACAACGCCGCCGTGCAGGTGGAAGTGGTGAGAGCCAGCAGGCTTCGGCAGCCCACCTTTCTGAAGATCAAGCAGATCAGAAGTTACCAGAAACCAATGGAAACAGATCTGGTATATATAGATAAGTCACCCAACTACTGCGAAGAAGATGCTTCCACGGGGAGCGTGGGGACACAGGGACGCCTCTGCAACCGCACCTCACCCAGCGCCGATGGGTGTGACATGATGTGCTGTGGGAGGGGCTACAACACCCACCAGTACACCAAAGTCTGGCAGTGTAACTGCAAGTTCCACTGGTGCTGCTTTGTGAAATGCAACACTTGTAGCGAGCGGACAGAGGTGTTCACTTGTAAATAACAGCTCATGTTCCTCCTTTTTAAAAGACACAGCCGCCACGTGTTAGAGTGGTACAAGACAACTACAGCATCATTTTGCACATTTACTTTTCTTGGAGGAGGAGGCCAGTCTCTTTCCTGTTACTTCTTAATAACACATTCAAGAACGATGCGTTAACTTGCTGACTAGCTGCTTTCACTACATTGGAACCAGGGTCGATGGGATGAATTGTACGGTGACTTTGTTCAGCGCAAGCAAGTTCCTCTGTGGTTCCCCCCACCCCCACCCCCGCAAGAAACCCTGCAGTCTGGGTTTTGTAGAGTTTTGCTCTTAGATTAAATTATACGTATCACAGTCCAAAGTTTTATCTTATTAAAAAACAAATGAGGAATTTAACTGTACCCAGAGAAACCTAAAATCCCAGCGGTGTTGCTGAACAACTTTTATTTCTAAGAAAAGAAAAGAAAGAAAAGCAGGTAAAGGGGAGCTGGCGAGACGATGATGTAAAAGAGGAGGGACTCGGGTGGAAGCTCAGCTATTGACTTGTTTGTAAAACAAAGGTCAGGACAAAGGACAAAGCTCTGACAGCTGCAGGTGACACTGGAACCTTTTGAATGGACATTTGAAGAAAAAAATATTTTATTTATGTTTTTAATAGCATCAAAACAAATTCTCTAAGCACTAACGGGTAGCTATGTCTTTACTCTGTACTAAATGTAAACTTACTGGAATTCTAACTTTCTGATTTTTATTTCTGTTTTTATTTTGTATTTGGTTCTCCCTATGTCTTCAATGCTACTGATTTCATAGCACTCCACTGTTAGAAAGAGTTCTGTGACAGTACACATCAAACATGGCCTAAGAGCACAAGAGCACAAGTGGTTTAAAATGCTAGGAACGTGGTTGCTATAGATAACCCAGAATTCAGAAGGGGAGCAGCAGTTTCATCCCTGTACAAACCAAGGCAGCCAAGCTTGTATACTGTCACTGCTTCCTCATTTACCTTTTATTGGTTGCAGCACTTTTTCATGTGTCCACCCCGTGCTGCGGCTGGAACAGTTAAGGGTCACCACCACGGGGATCCAGAAAACTGCGTAGCACTTGACATGAAAGCATCATTCCCAAGCTTAGCTGGGTAATGGTTTCACATTAAGGAGCCATCGAGTAAACAAATATTAGTGCAGTTCAGCATTGGGGATGACAATTTTGTATTAAGGTCCCACTGCCCACATAGTGGCACACTTTTAGGTATCACAGCCACCCAGTGGGATGAACCCACGGGAGAAGCTGCCATGTTTAAATGTTACTTAATGATGCACTGGCTTACCTGGGTGAAGGAAGGCCTCCTGTGCCTGACTGCCACACTCTTAACTTGTGCAACAGAGAAAGTCCTTTGGGATACTCCTACATGCAGAGGGTTAAATCAGATGGCCCCTCTTCAGAGGTTTCTGATTCTCCATGTGATGAGGGCGAGTGAGGCTCCTGAGTGCTCTAGCTCTATTCTCATAATCTTCCCCACTGTTGAGCTGGAGGGTTGACTTCTGCAGTGGTGAGACTTCTCTACTTCTCTTGGCTGTCCATGATCTCCCAGGGTTCTAAATCACATGTGGAACCTTCTCAGATACAGCAGACTCCTTACTGTAGATGTATGCTTCTAACTCATGGAGCAAAGAGATTACAGGAGAGAGTCAGCACAGTCTCTCCCACTCTTCCTCTTTTGATGAGGAATTAGGACATCCAAACAGGGCTGCTATTCCCACCCTTTATTTTGTGGGTTATGGCTCACAGTTTCAGCCTCTTCAGGCATAGACAACCTAAAGTACTCACTCTATTAAGAGGATAATGGCAGAGGGAACCCTGAACCCATTTCATGGGAAGAGGATCTTTATAAGTCTCTGAACATTAGCTGAATGTATGAACTATCTTCACTGAATCGAAAGGATGTTGTCTGAGGTGATGATAAACAAGGTTCTGTCTGTGTGACCTTTGCACCACCACTGGCCATGGTTCTTTCCATTCCTCCCAGCAGTTGCAATGATTGTGGATTGGATGTCACCAATGTGACAAGGAAGTGGGTGGAAATTTTTGCTGCAGGAATCCCAGTCCCATTGGCAAATATAAAGTCTATGCCACCATTTATTCTCACATGCAGTTTGCCACTCAATGCTGTAGTCCATCTTGTGGTCCATCAAGTTCCCTCTGCTCAGTCCCACTGCCTTGCCGCAGAGGACATCCGTGGGAGCTGTTGTCTAGTGGGCAAAGGCTGAAGGGAGACACCAGGAAAGCATGGGGCAGGAAATGTCACTTGAAAATTCTGGCAACAGAGGGACACTGTACCATTTCTGTGAATGTGGGGTGGTTTATTATTATTATTAATATTATTATTATTGTGAGAATCTTTTGCAAGGAAGGCGCTTTGAAAGCCTCTTGGGGCTATAAAGTATTCTAAATATAAATAAATAAGTAAATAAGTAAACAAGAGCCAGCAGTTTTCTCATACATCACCTCAAGCAAATTCCTTTTCAGGAGAGGCAAGTCAGACATTTAGCTGTGAGCCATCAACTGTTGCCCAAACCAGTAAGTACCATACATGCATGTGTGATTTGGTCATAAGGGCTTTAGAGAGTTAACCTTGCAGCAACATTATTTGGGCAGTTGGATTTTCTTAATGTTTGATAATTTCCAGGTTAGGACAGGTTTTTTCTCTGAAAGGCATTATCATGTTCACCCCATGCCATGAAGATAATGAAAACAGCAGCTGCTGAATCCCACTTTACCCAATACAGCCAGCTAATACATGGCTGATGTGTTAACTTGAGTTATTTTTAAATGGCACAGTGAACCAAAGTATGGTTGACAGCGTTTAACTACCCTCCCTCTTCCTGAAGAGCCTCTTCATACCATACTTTTAGGTGCACGTCTATAGCCAAAAAGCATGACTGTAGCATGCGCATGTTTCCAAGGGTCCTGCTGGTAAACTTGACAAGGAGCTGGGTTTGGCTGCAGCTGCCTCTTAAGTCTGGATGTCCTACAGTGTAATATATAAAATCAGGGCCAGCCCAAGACATTTTGGCACCTAAGGCAAACCACAAAATGGCACAAAACCTGTAACCCACCACCAGGGCAGAGAGACCACTGTTGTGGCAGCATGGGGAGAGCTGCTGAGGAAGCAGATCCAGCCTCCAAGGAGCATGCTGCAGCTTTTCCTGTCACTGCAGCAGTAGTAGCAGCAGCAGGCAATGCATTCCTTGGAGGCTGGATCTGCTGCCTCTGTAGATCCTGCCCCCTGGGACAGTTTTCTCACCCTGCCTGTGGGTGGGCCGGTCCTGCATAAAATAGCCCTTAGTAAATTTCAAATAAATATTCAGAAATGAGCAAAGCCTTTATTCATGTCCCTTGCAATTGCACCATTGTGTTTCTTTCTGGACCTTTATCTTACATTTTAATGTTTTACATTGTATAGTTGGTTCCCACATGCCTCTGCATCCACTGAAGAGTGCAATTCTGGCATGTGTGGATCACAGTTCAAAATGTTACAGTTACAACTTTTGTATCACCCAGTGTCATTGCACATGCCTTTGTTTCCAACGACACCCATTTGCATTCAACAGTTCCAAGAGCTAAATAATCAACACATAGTGAAACACATAAGGGACGCAGGTGGCGCTGTGGGTAAAACCTCAGTGCCTAGGACTTGCCGATCGTCAGGTCGGCGGTTCGAATCCCCGCGGCGGGGTGCGCTCCTGTTGCTCGGTCCCAGCGCCTGCCAACCTAGCAGTTTGAAAGCACCCCCGGGTGCAAGTAGATAAATAGGGACCACTTACTAGCTGGAAGGTAAACGGCACATGACCCGGAAGTGTCTCCGGACAGCGCTGGCCCCCAGCCTCTTAAGTGAGATGGGCGCACAACCCCAGAGTCTGTCAAGACTGGCCCGTACGGGGAGGGGTACCTTTCCCTTTACCTTTAGTGAAACACATAGTGCCACATGGGGCATCTGAGCTAGACAGGATCAGGTAGCAGAATAGGTGATAACATTCAGTTTTCAAAAACCTGGTGTGAATCTGCAGCTCCCAGTTATGAAAATGTCCACCACTTGGTTGCAAGCCAGTTGAAAGGCCAATTACATTTTTTTACTGAAAATGAACATGAAATCCAGGTCCCTTCTAGTCTGTGGCAAATTTCAGCCTTGTGAAAGCACCATTTCTTAATTTATCTCTAAGAGCCAAGTACTTGCAGATGATATAAAAAGAATAAAGAGACTTGGATTGCAAATCTTCACCCAAGCAGGTGTTCCTGTCTTGGTATCAGGAAAGATGGATCATGAAGAGCCACGACTTAAAATGCCCAGTGTCCAATACTGGAAAGAGCCCTGATCCATCTCTAGTTACACAAAACAACTGCTGGGTCTAGATGAGGATATAGGTCCATAGGTCGCTCACAAGATGCATTTTGCAGGTTAATGAAGCACAGGCAAACATTGTGATGCAGATACAGCTGCATATCTGAATTAGCATTTGCTGCATATAACAAAAGCTGCTTCTGTACATGGGCATCTCCAGCTGGAACAGGGCAGCAAATCCAGCTAATTCAGCTTCCTTTCTCAGCACTCAATTTTGATGTTCAGGTAGAGCAAAACCTTGCCAAAAGACGAGAGTCCCTAGCAGGTCCTAGCATCTAGAGCTTGAAAAAAGCCAATTTCAACACAGAAGCATTTTTTCAAGTGTTAAGACAGACATAACATTATAATAATGGTGGAAGTAGCTCAAACACTGCTCTGGAAACAACTGCTTTCTGTGCTCAAACTACATCCTCCACACAGAGCTACATTTGGCTGTAAAGCTTGAAGTGTTACGTTTGTCTTCATCCTCATTAGTCCTAAGACTGAATGCAGAGAACTATTTTACATTCTACAACACATTTACTAAACCAGTAGTTGCTGTGTGGTAAAAGATTCTCCTTATTACCTGGCAGGTTCACACAAGTGACTAGGTTCCCCTGAGTTGAGAGAGTTGTAAATGTGGGCTCAAAGCATGAAGACAGATCACCATTTACAAATTGGCACCTCTTAATATTGTGCATGCAATCGCATGCTCCCCTAAGCTATATGATTCCCTCATCCCTCTTCTGCTTTCCTAGATTTCTGATCAAATGCTGAGAAGAGCAACCATTAGACCAAGTATTCCCCCCCCCCTCACTCTCTCACACACTGCAGTAAGCCATCTCTTAATAAATAGTCCCCTTTGTGGTACAAAAAACCCTTGTGAGTCACACACATATCAGCACTTTTGAATGGTTATAAGATCTTCAGTTTGATGTCTCATTGATCAATCTCTTGTTTGATTCTATTTGTTTCATGCTAATTTGTTGTTGCAATGCAGCAGGTTTTGTTGCGGTACATCTTCCTTGTGGGATTTCCATCCGGTCATTTCAGCCAGCTTGTTTGACCATCCACAATTCATTAGCATGGATTCTTTAAATTGTCAAAAGTTTGATCGCAAAATTTCAAATATTAAATGTTAAGTTTTGACCAGAAGTTCATATCTGAGTGTTGGGGCTTGAAACCCTGTAGTCCCCAGGAATGTGTCCCAGGGACCCTAGGAGGGACCATCCAAGACGGCCGCCTGGGAGATTCAGCGTCAGAAGCCCCCTCCCTGCTGCCAAGGCGGTTTGGGGGCATCCCTGAGCATCAGACATTCTCCCATTTCTCCAACATGCCTCCAAACTGGGGCAGTAATTCTTTTTTAAAAAAGGACAGAGAGCATAAGAGTGCTGTTGCTTGCCAAATAATTTTTATTCATTTTCCAAATTTTTAACAAATCAATACCAAATTGCATCAAATTTAATACAATTTTCCCATTCTCCATCATCAATCTGTTTCTTCATTCTTCTAATTACTGCTTTATATTACATTATTTATTTCCAATTCACATTCCATTCCTTATATTTAATCTTAAATTCCACATTTTTAAAATTTATATTTTCCTCTCCTTTCCCCCTTCTCCCTCAGCTGTCAATTTATCAATTCCTGCTCATATAATTTATTATTCCCTTAAAAAACAAAACAGAAAAGAAAAGAAATGAGGTTACTCTGCCCCTTGCATCTCCATCTTAAATCATTACTTGTTGTTTTTATATTAATTCTTTCTTTTCATCTTGCTTTTGTATAAATCTGGATCCATCCTTTTCACCACTGCTCTCCTTCCATCATATCCATTTCCTGTCCAGAACTGCGGTGTTGTAGAAATCCATATTTTCACCAGCTATACACTCATAATTTCTTTAACCACTGTTCATTGAGGCAAGGCTAATTTAAACCCCAAGGTCCTCATTTGTAATATTTTCTTCCTTTTAACAGGAGGGGCTCATAAACACATAAAAAGTGGTGTGTTTATTACTTTCATTCAGAAACCTCAAGCTCCCAGCAGCTTGTTTATTTCACATCTTCTCTGAAGAGTGCCTTAACTTTATGCCCAATTATCCTAATTCGAAGGAACTTTGCAGCACATGCACAAAAGAGACCAGAGCTTGCAATGGATGAAGTTGCCGTAACTCTGCGTCCTGCCCCCGCGACCTCCATCTCTGACCCCAGCAGGCATTTCCAGATGTCTGTGAGTTCACCCCCCTCCAACATCATTGGGAGAGCATGCCAGCCCCCACTGCCCCCATCTCCATCCAGGTTCCCCACGAAGCTAGGCGCACCCAGAGAGGTGACTTGCCACACTGGATTCTCAGCCAGAAGTCCCATAAGAGTATTGTTGCTCCTCACTTCCACCTTGCAGACGTGAGCCTGGCAGGGCCCTGGATGAGATGGTGGAGCCATCACTCAGTCCTCTAGGAATACAGTCACAGAGTTGTTGGCACCTCTTGATTGCTCTGACAGTCATCAGACATGAGACCTCGCAGCCTATCTAGCTGTCAAATACCAAATTTATCCCAACTATCCAAAACAGTCAAACATCAACTACTGAGATCCAGTAAAATGTAGTAAATACTGAAATGAGATATAATAGGATGTCAGCCACAGATGCTGAATATTTGACCAACCTTTTAGTATTCAGAGACTATTTAGAGAATATATGATTTAATAATCCAATGAGAGCAAATTCATTGCAGCTCTAGTATGAGCTAAATTCAACAGTAAAAAACATACTTTTCTTCTTTGTGTGTTTTCCATTGGTGGTTCGTATTGTAAGTTGGCAAGTGAGATAAAGGTTTTTTTGTTTGTTTGTTTTAAATGCCCTAGGCGAGCTTAATTCCAATTTTTAAATAACCATTTGTGGAAATGGCAGCTCCATTTGTGGAGCAGATTTGCTGAGTTTCCATATGAGCACCCAAAAAGCCACATACCCCAAATGTCTTTCCAAACATACATGTATCCAATTCCTATTCCACTTCACAATAAATGACTGCAGCTCCTCTGAAACATCACCACCGCACAGTTATGCAGATCTCTCAATAAAACTGCAACCCCCCCCC